TGATCTGCAAGCAGGAGCCTGTTGGCTTATTAGAGGAAGGTTGGGCGAGCGAGCCAAGCAGGCTTCAGCCCGGAGTTCCTCGGAGCTTGCGGCTCTTCTGGGCCCCTTCTCATCAAATCCTCCCGACGCGATTGACATTCAGAAAATGGGGAGGGCGTGAGAGTTCCTAAACGAGAAGATTTCTTCACACACACCCCACCTGATCCTTCCTAAATGAGCCATCTTTTCCCGGGTTTCTCCGTCCTTTCGGCGGCGCGGTAACGGTTAAATCCACCACAGCTCTGACATTTTCCCCCTCCGCCAGCAGAGGATCTCCTCCGCCTAGTGAATTACTGATGTCAGGAAAGGTGTAGGGAACAAGTTTCTTAAAATGACTCGTCAAACACCACACCCACAAACGCCTGTAGCGCAGTTCTCAGCCCCAGGCCTAGCCTCCACGGACCTGGAAACTGGGTTGGGGTAGGGGTGAGACTGTCCCGAGTGCCCTCGCCCCTTGCCGGGCCACTGACTCTGACCGTGTCCCCGGACCAGGCACTGCTGTTGAGGGGGCCTGGGATCTGCTTGTGGTCTCTTCAGCATAGTTACCCGTCTGTTTTCCAAACCAAGAGCCCCAGTCCTGGCCCAGGGGCGCTAGGAGATTGGGGTTGGAGCAGAGGGCCCTGGAGGCTGGTTGGGGTGGGAGAACATACTGCTAACACTGAAGCTGGCTGGTGGGGAGGGGGGCACTTACCTTTGGAGATCGACGAGGCCGAGGGGAGGGAGTTTCCAGCCACCAGAAACCTTGCTGATGCCCCCTCCCTCGGGCCGCCCGCGGGCCAAGGAGGTATCCGAGGGGCGGGGCAGGGAAAGGCGGAGAGATCGGCCAGCGGCAGGCGCAGGAGCTGAGCTGCTAGAGCATCTCTGGAGAGGCCGCCTTTTATGGGCGTTATTAGCGCCCCTGTCTAGACTGGAGACGACACCTCCTCTGCGTGTAAACAGAGGCGGCGGGCCCAGGCGGGAAGGGGGATGTCGTCTCTAAGGGTAAGCGGCCCTCCCCTTCTCTGGCCACCGGAAGATCAAGGCCTCTTCTACCCTCCCCCCTCTCCCTCTGCTCCCTGTGATGTCAAGGTCAGAAAGACCTAGTCATGGTCAAGGCTAAAAGAGGAAGAGCCTGGTTGGTTGTGAAAAGGCACTGGCCCCCTCCTCCTCCTCCTCCCAGAAGCCCTGGCTCCCCGGGGCCCCTCAATCCTCCACCAACGAAGGTCTACGTGCACATCTGCCTGAACGGCACTTGGAGTTTGCTTGAGGATGGGCCCATACCAAGATTCTCAGACGGATCCTGCAGTATTATCTTTGGAACAGGATGAAACCCCAGAGGGGACTGCTGCAAGAACCCCACCTCTAATAGGAGGGCCTTTTAGAGAGATGGTGCCTCCTAACCACATTGGCCTGCTGCCCCCTCCCCTCCACTGCTGACCCAGCTGTCTGGATCAAACTCAGGAGAAGATGGTCTCAGGAGAGATCTTCAAGAGAACTGCTGGTCTTGTTCCCTCAAGGTGGGTTCCGGGCATGGGACTACTGGCTGCTTGGCCTATATATAGCATTGGCCCTGGGTCCGAAGCTAATGCCAGTGGGGAAGAAATTTTCTGCAAAAAGCTCAGGAAAGGATGTAGCTGACCACGTCCTGGCATCCTGGCAGTATGACCTTCCTATGAGTTCTGTGAGGCCAAGCCCACAGAGGTACTCAGCCCCGGTATCAGACTAGGACAAAGACATCGGGAGCCTCATCCCTCAGTCAGTTTTCAGGAGGAAACTTCTGCATTGACAGCCTTTTTTAGCTCTCTGACCCCCTGATGCACTCATGAAGACTTACTCTAACAAACACTAGAGACCAGCCTTGGAGAGAATGACCTCTTACAGATACAATTAAAGAGGAGAAAATTCGCTCTACACTCTGAGATGAGTATCCAGGCCGACAACGTTATTTATACATTTACACACAGAGACACAGGCATTTTCTGCTGCTCAAGAATACACAACCATACATGCGCATGTGTGAACACACACGCGCGCACACACACACACACACACAAACACTTACCTACCTACCTTCCAGGAATATCTCACAGAGCCCCTGATCACCATACCAACTCTTACTGGGAAGACACTAACACAATCAGGCAAAGAATAATACATGTCTCAGCTTTGTCCTTCCAGAACACACACACACACACACACACACACACACACACACACAGTTTGCTTGCTCTCACAAGAGATGTATTGGCAAAGCCAAAGTTAATCCAGATATGGTAATCCTCCTTCAAAAACCAATCTGGGTTTAATGGAGTGCTGGAGAGTCCTGTATGCCCTGGCATACTAGAATCACAGTCCTTCTTGCCTTATCAGTAGCCCAGCACTCCCCAAATAAAGTCCCAAAGCTTTCTTCCTCTTTTCCATCAACCCCTCTCAATTCTTGTATGGTTTCTACAGTATGGGAAGGCTTGACTTTTATTTTTTGAGAAGCAGTCTCTCTGTGTTGTCCAAGCAGGCTAAAACTTCTCCACTCAAATGATCCTTTTACCTCAGCTTCCCAAGCCTCTGGGACTGCTGTGTGCAGGCACACACCACTAAACCCGGATAAGACGTAGTAATCATGTGCTTATCTGTGGGTTTGGATGCAGAGGTAGAAAAATCCCTGGGAGAACTCTTAGATTGTTTTTTAGCCACCAAGTTGCAGCTTCCACTGTGTCTACAGTTTTATTCTGGGACTACCCTAAACACTAAAGAGGGCTGGGGACTCATACATACCGAAGAGCACCACTGTTCTTGTCCAAACACATATTCAGTCTCCAACTCAGGAGAAATCCAGGGATTTGGGGAGAAAGGGTGGGAAGAGATGGGAGATAGAATTCAAAGTGAATGTTATTCCTTGAAGATTCACTTATTCCCTCCCCAATTTCTAACCAACATGGTTCTCTGGTGCTCAATCCAGAGTTCTGATGAGAACAGAACTGGCAGCCACATCAGCAGCAGAACCTCCATGAGGGTGAACTGCCAGGCTCTTTGTTTTTCAGACTCTGTGTGTGTGTGTGTGTGTGTGTGTGTGTG